ATTTTTGCTACTTACAAGAGATACATCTTAAAGAAGAATATAATTGAAAAAAGAGGTATTTTATTGTGAAAAATAATTTCATAAGTATAATTTGTATGCACCTAATAACATAACCTCAAAAGCTGATAGGATTGAAAGATGAAACAGACAAATCATTGATCAGAGCAAGGAGATGAAAATCAAAATCAAGATAACAAAAAGTGCCATTAAAATTGTAGAAGATTTGAACCAAAATTAGGAATTTTATATACAATGTTGTACCCAATAATTGTAGAATATACATTGAGATGCCCATGGAGAAGTTACCAAATTAATCATATGATAGTGATGTATCTTAGGCCATAAAGGTCTCAACAAAATCTAGAAGACAGTGTACATTTTTGATATAGTGGAATTAAGATCAGAAGTCATAGCAAAAAGATTACCAGAAAAAATTTCCAGAATTTGTAAGTTAAGCAGTATATTCCTAAATTACCTGTGGATCAAAGAAATATGATATAAATTGGAAAATACTACTTAAGAGATACGAAAAGTACAATCTATGAGAAGTACAAATATGACACCAAAGCGTGTGCCATATAAAGTAATAGCCTTAATTATGTGTACTAGACTTCCCAAAGGTTACTTATTAGCCATTTAATAAGCATCTAGAAACAAAAGCAAAGCAAATCCAAAGAAGGAAGATGGTGATCAAAGTAAGGGAAGTCAGTGGAGTAGAAATTACGTGTAATCATCAACAGGCAAGGTGCTTAAGATCATTTCTAGGGATACAGAATATGTGTTATAAAATAAGACAAAAGCCATGTCTGTTTAATAAAGTAATATCTATTATGGTATCTAGTAAAAAATTACATGCAGCAACTGGGTGTGATTGGCACCTGTAATCCTAGCACTCAGACTGGGACTGGAGGACTATATAGCAAGAACTTGTCTCAAAGCAACACAGATTATCAGCCAGCATAGAAGTGGTAAAGAAAGAAACATCCACACTGTGGAGAAAACCAGCAGTCAAAACAGATGCAGAAATGACACAGATGATAGAAGTGGTGTAGCAAAGAACTTTAAGACAGTTCTGTATTTCATGGAGAAGCTAAAACATATTGAACATACTGTGTAGACACATGGGAGATATAAGAAACCGAAAACTGTCATTCATAGATATCTTGATTGTTTACAGAGAAAATACAAAAATCTGAAGGTAAAGCATTTGAACTTTAATTGAAATTTAATAATAAATTTAGCAAAATCTGTTGGTGTAAGGCCAACATTTGATTTTAAAAATTTTGTATTCTGAATACTATTCACAGACAGGAAACTAAAAATAAAAATTTTTGCTTTTGTTTCTTTATTGTGGGAGGGCAGTGTGCATGCGGGGGTCAAGGTTAGTTTTCTTCTTCCATCGTGTAAATTCTAGAGATTAAACTCAAGTCTTCAGTCTTTGTGGCAAGTGCCTTTACCCACTGAGATCTTGCTGGCCCAGCAAATCATAAAGGAAACATTTATGTTAGTATTAAAAAATACACAAAATACCTTAGAGTCAATGAAATATGAATTCTGCAGAAAACTGTAAAATACTACCGAAAGAAAGGAAAAATATAGCTCAGTAAATAGATGGTTTTTACGCAGAAAACTTTTGTAAAGAAGTCAGCTTTTCCAGAATAGATGCAGACTTAATGTGATGCCAAGCAAGATCCTGATGTGCTTCTGAGAAATGACAAGCTGATAAATTCTGAGTCCAATGCCTAGCTGGAGAGGATGCTGAGATGGGGGTGGGGGTGGCTTACTTGGTAAGGCCTTGTGTATCAGTTACTTTTTTCATTGCTGTGACAACATATCTGACAAGAAACAGTCTAGGAGAGGAAGGGCTTACTTTGGCTTATAGTTTGAAGGAATGCAGTCCATCATAACTGTAGGAGTAAGAGGCCACTGCAGTCAAACGCACAGAGTGAATAGGTGTCAAGCTATAAGACCTCACTGTCCTCTCTAGTCACCCACTCCTCTAGCAGTGCTTCACCTCTTGAAGGTCCCACAACGTCACCACCAGTGAGGACCAAGTGTTCAAATACGTGAGGCTTTGGGTTTAAATGTGGGGACCTGAGTTTGATCCCATGTAGAAATGCTAGATATGGGAGCTGGAAAGATTGCCCAGTGGTTAAGAGCACTGACTGAATGAGTTTACAGAGGACCTGGGTTTGGTTCCAGCACCCACATGACAGCTAGCAACCACCCCTAAGTCCAATTCTGGGGGATCTGACTCCCTCTTCTGGCCTCTACAGGCATTGTACAACAAGGGTGTGCATGTGTATATATATGTATGTATGCATATATATATATATATACACACACATGCACACAGGCAAAACACTCACGTACATAAAATAAGTTTTTTTAAAAAAGCCAAATATGGTGACTTGCACTGGGAAGGTGGAGATAGGATCACTGTGGCTTGCTGGCCAACCATCTATCCTGGTTGGTGAGCTGCAGGGCAATGAGACCATATCTCAAAGAGGATGATATTGCTGAGGAAGGCACCTGTGGTACTCTGGCCTACACACACACACACACACGCACATATAGACACACACACAAAGAAGTTCTTAAAACTCTTCTAAATATCAAGTAGGAGTACACCTACTGTAAATGAAACTGGGGTATTAGCATAATGAACAGACTCATTGAACAATTTCAGCAGTGTCTTTGATGAATGGTGCAAGATTAATGGGATAGTAATTTGTTTTGTCTAGAAAAATCTGTTTTAGATGACTGTGAAGCCTAAATAATAATAAAGTTCTCAATCAGAGAAAAATATTTTTAGCAGGAAGAAGGCAATAACAAAGATTCAGAGCAGATGATAGAAATAAGGAACAAGGCTTTGTGAAAAAAGACAGTAATGATTCCAAAATAGACTTCCATGTAGTGATCACCCAGCAAAACAGGATAAATGTGATGACAACTGGTGCTGATGATGTGCTCAAATCAGGGCAGTGATGCCCCTCAGTACTAGTGGTCATTGTATTCTTCACTATCACAAATCTTGAGCTAAACAAATGACAGAAACTAAAAAAATGGACTGAAGAGATGACTCAGTAAGAGCACTGGCTGTTCTTGCAAAGGATCTGGATTCAGCTCTCAACATCCACATGGCAGCTAACAACCATCTGTAACCCCAGTTCTAGGGGGATCTGGCACCCTCTTTTAACCTCTGTGGGCAGTGCCCGACACAAGTTACATGAATGCAGACAATACACTCATACACACATTTAAAAAAAAAAGATTTAGGATTATCTTTGGTTAGGATTATCAAGAGAAACAGTTACTAAATTGTGACCATTGAGTGAATGTCGTCTTAGTATTCTGGGATGACATGAGTAGAATGCAGAAAGCACTTCTGCATACCCTGAACATAGGAGTTGTTTCAAAGGAGAACTTTTGAGTGATCCAGTTCAGTGGCACTGTGTTCGTGGATTACTGTTTTTACTTGAAAGGACAACTGACAGTGATTATTTACTTCGAGTACTGGCAAATAATTTCTTAGAAATGAGTAAAGTGAGTCTGCTACTTCAAGGTAAACATGTGACATTATTTCTTGTGTTAAATTTGGGCTTTCAAACAGAAAACAAAATTTTAGACACTATTACAGTGAGACTGTTAGTTTCTCAAAATTTAAAAAGATATTTCTGATGAGGTTGGGATGATGTTAACAAGTGTAATTTTTGTTTTAAAGTTTTATTTTTATTCATGTATTTATGTGTGTCTGTGTGTCAAAAGAGATCAGAAGAGGCGGTCAGATTCCCTGGATCTGGAGTTACAGGCGGTTGTGAGTTGCCCATTGTGGGTGCTGGAAATCAAAGTTGGGTCCCCTGGAAGAGCAGCACGTGCTCTTAACCACTGAGCCATCTCTCCAACCCCAACAAGTATAACCTTTTGATGTTGTATGATGAGCTCTGTCAACGTTTAGGAGATCTATGTGATTTAGCAAATCATTATTTTTCAAATAACCAATAGATGGTGTTATAAAATTATGTGTGGCAAACGGTCCATTCAAAGTACAAGGCAGAACAGTGGATTTTTAACCTAGCATAAAAAGTTGATTGCCATGGTTTTCTGATTCCACATTACAACTTATGTTTAAAAAATTGCTACATGTTATGTTTTGATGAATCAAAAACTATCTACAGCTGCCTGAAAAGTGTATTAATGCTTTTTGTACTTCCACTTGAGCAACACAGCAGCAGACTGAATGTGGAAGTAGCTAATATTTTTCTATCAGACCAGATACTGAGAATTTACAAAAACATTGAACAGTACTACTCCTTCATTTTACTTGTTCACTAGGATGAGATTTTTAATGTTAACTCATAATTGGGTTAGTAGTTATTCTAAAATGAATTTACTTTAATTTCTAATATGACAATGTTTGGTTATTTATTTATTTTTTATTTGTGTGTTTGAGTGCTTGGTCTGCAGATATGTTAAGTGTATGATGTGTATGCACTGCCCACAGAGGCCAGGAGAGGATGTTGGATCCCTGGAACTGGAGTTAACAATTGGTTGTTAGCCACGCTGAGGGTACTGGGCACTGAACCCAAGTCCTCTGCAAGAGCAGCTAGTGCTCTTAACTGCTGACCCATTCTTTCAACCCCATACCAGTTTTAAGAAAACAGTATCATATATGTATATATGGTTTTATGAATGTGTTGGATTTTAAATATTCTAGTCACTATAATACCTATGTTTTTTTTAAATGTAGCACAGACATACACATGCACCCCTACATGCAAAGTTCCTACACATTATAAAATCTTTTGATAGTAAACACTTCCCAATTACATTGAGTAAATTTAATTTGTATACTTCTAGATGTGTACCTTAGTTTGAGAGAAGTGAGATAATTATTTCATGGTGAATGTGGAATTAATAATGAGCATGGAGTTGGGGTAGCCGTCTTCTTTCTTCATTGAAGAAACCATTTAGTCAGGTGTTGTTTTTCTTCATTCCAGGTAACATTGTACAACACTGATCAGGATGGTAGTGACAGCCCACGAAGCAGCCTTAACAATAGTCTCTCAGACCAGAGTTTGGCATCTGTTAATTTGAACAGTGTTGGAAGTGTGCATAGTTATACACCGGTAAGTCTCGATGAAGTTAGTTTCTTTAGATATTGATTCAGTGCTAAAACTCATAATTGGCATAATTGAAATGCAGATAAGATGGTTTAACAGGGAAGGGCACTTGCTGCCAAACCCGACCTGAGTCCCATCCCTGGAGCCACATGATAAAGTGAGGGAGCAGATTCCTGCAGGTTATCCTCTGACCTCTGCCATGAGTGTTTTGGCATGTGTGCCTGTGTCATGCTTTTCCCACCCCCCTCTTTAAAATAAATAGGGAAAAATTAAGACCTGTATTCTTCACTCATGAGTCCATGAATTTAGTAAGTAGTGCAGACTTAGTTTTTATTTTGGTCTGGAAAACAAAGCCATGCTGTAAAGAGACTTACGTGTAAATGTTCTTGTTCCTGTACTCTTTTTTATTTTTTATTCTTATTTATTTTTATTTTATTTTATGTGCATGAGTGTATTGCCTGAATGTACGTGAGTGCACCTGTGTTGTGCATTGCCGTGGAAGTCAGAAGAGGGTGTCGGATTCCCCTGGAACTGGAGTTAAGGACGGTTTGTAGCCGCTATGTGGGTGCTGGGAATCGAACCTGGGTCTTCTGCAAGAGCAGTTAGTGCTCTTAACCGCTGAGCCATCTCTCCAGTCCCTATTTTTTTAATTTTTAAAAACCCCTATTACAAGACTATGGGTTATCATATTTCTTTTCAAACAATCTGGCTATGATCCTTACTTTCGAGCAGAGTACAGAGTCCAAGAGTTATACACCACACTGTTGACAGGTGTAGATAAAATCTCAGCAGATCACTCCTTAGTTTAGGTAATCAATAGAAAAACACAAATGGGACAACATCCAAAGGAAGGAACTTGAACTCGTAAAGGGAAGCACCAAGAACTCAGCAGAATTGAGGTTCAATTGATATAGATGTTTGCTCTGCAAAGCTGCTGTTGGTGCTCCAATGGAAAACCTGGAACACAAGAGTAACAACCAAACTCAGTAGAAGAACCAGAAAACAGAAAAAAAATTACAAGAACACAAAGCCACCTGTAATCCAGCACTCGGGAACCTGAGGCAAGAGAATCATGCCAGATTTGAGGCCATCTTGGGCAACATAGTTTGAGGCTAGCCCAGGATATACCACAGTGAGATTCTGCCTCAAATAAAGAAAAGACAGCAAATATGGAGCACTGAGAAGTACAGGTGTATCCACAGAAGCCAGAGAGATTGATGCTGAAACAATGTTCAGAAGAAATAGTGGTTTCAAGGGTTCTGGGAAAAAATGATGAGGAAGAACCCTGTGTTTTTTAAGCACAGCATAGCAAAATTTAAAAGTAATCACCCACACAAGTACTCTGGCAGAAAAAATAAGTTAGGTATAAGGAAACACATAGTAGGCATCTCTTTAGCAATACTAAATGCCTGAAGATAATGTAACACGATGCAGAGTTTTGAGGGATAGTTGAGTAACAGATGTTAAGTCCAGACAAATTTTCTTATTGTAAAAGCCAGAGAAGGCTTTTTTTTTTTTTTTTTTTTTTTTTTTTTTTTTGCTTAGTGGGTGGTGTATACCTTAGTCCCAGTACTCAGGAAGCTGACGCAGGAGGATTGCAAACTTGATGACAGCCTAAACTATGTAGCAGGACCCTGTCTCAAAACCAAACAGAAAATATGAAGGAAAAGAAAGAGACAGATTAAAAAGAAAAAGATGTTCTTTGATGTATGTCCTTTCCTTGTTTCATGTGTCCTACCTAAAAGAAAGGAGTCATCCCTCAGTGGGGATGGGTTTTAGCTTTTCCTCTTCCCCCAAGAGGAAAGACTTAATCAAAATGCTCAAGTTCCGTATATAAAGTGGTATAGTATTTGCACATGGCCTTCACACATTACACATATTTTAAATCATCTTCAGATGACTATGTATCTAACACAATGCAGATGGGATATAATAATTGCTTTCCATTTTATTTTATGTGTATTAGTGTATTGCCTGTATGTATGTAAGTGCACTCATGGAGGCCAGAAGAGCCCATTGAATTCCCTGGGCCTGGAGTTACAGGTGGTTGTTAGCTGCCATGTGGGTGCTAGGAACCAAATCCAGGTCACCTTGAAGAACAGCAGCTCTTAACCACTGAGCCATCTCTCTAGCCCCTTTTTAATTTGTGTTTAGTTGAATCCATGGACATAGAATCCACAAATACGGAATGTCTACTGTAGTCAGCTATCAAGAAATGAATCAAAGACTCAGTAATGTAAAAGGAATAGAATAATAAAGTAAAATAAACAAAGATTTTAAGTTACCTAGGTGTAAAGTATTTTGAAACCAGTAGAAATCAAAGAGCAGGGTTCAGTATTACAAAATATAATAAAAGTAAACATTATACATTTATTGGGGCTAAGAACATAGCTTAATTAATAAGCGTGCCCCAGCACCATATAAACCAGGCATGTTGGTGCACACTTAGAATCCCCAGTCCTTGAGAGGTGGAGCAGGAGGATCAGAAGTTAAAGGCCAGCCTCAGCTACAGTGGGAGTTCAGGTCTAGTCAGGAGACTTGTTGACAAGAAAGAGCATGAGACCATCTACTAGAAAGAAAAAGAGAGAGAGGGAGGGAGGGAAGGCAGGAGGGCATTTATCAAACTAGGGACAAAGGAACTAACATATCTCTATATAAGTGGATTAAGCTCAGTTCAAAACTAGACATTATAGCCTGAAAAGACTGAGTTGACATCCAGTGAGACAGTTACAATGAATTGCTTACATAGATTAAGTTTAAATCAAAAGTATTTTAAGTCTGTACATAGTTTAAGTCCGTATAAGTAATTAAGCTATGCAGTGTAAGCCAGACCAGATTGGTGTTTACTTCTTGCACCTCATAACAGCAATACCAAACCAGAATATCCATGTGACAGACTGTGAATAATATAATAATAATAATAATAATAATAATAATAATCTAGTGGAGGAATAAATTGTATACTGCAGCTAAGCAGTTAATGACATGCAGCAGTGGCCATTTTGGGAGTAAGAATGACCCATGCCTACCTGAACCAGGGAGACAGATGAGAAAGGTGGGTGAAAAGCTGCCCTGTGGTTGCCTCACAAGATAGGGCAGATGAGAACTTAACCTTCGCCAAGCCGCTTCTCACCCTGTGCTCTACCAATATGTAGGTCAGCCTGCCATCTAGCTCTTGTATGATTTTTGTTGCATGTAAGGTGACCAGGATGCCAGTGGTGGAGGTATTCCCCTACACAAAGTTAATATTTTTCCCTGTTTTGACATGTGCCTTATGAGCATTTTGAAGGACTT